TCTGAAACTCTTGTAGAGACACCACTGAACAGCACTTGAACATAGAGGCATAGGAGAGCTGTTCTGCATTTGATTTGGTTTAAAGTAGATCCACCTGCCACAGACTAATAGAAACTCCTTGTCATCTGCAGGTTGTAGTGAAAAAGCTAGATTTTTTTATTTTTCTCAGAATCCCTTCTCCTGGAATTAACACTGTTGGGAACTTGTCATTGCCACTGTCTCCGAGAGCATCTTCAATCAGCAAGAGCACGTTTGGGTTTGTTGTTTAATAAGAGACTTTGCACGGCGTATGAAAGGACAGCTTCTTGTAGCTCTGGAAGGCAGAACAGCAATGCTTATCCTCTCATTTTTGTGATAGATAAGGTGGAAAACATTTCAGTCTAAGGTTTGATGACAGCCTTAACTTTCTCGATGTTCTTCAACAGGATAGTGCAGCGCGCAGTGATAGGCACAAAGCTACCAATCCTGATACCATCCAACAAAGGCAGAAAAAATAAAAGACTTTTAAAAAGAAATTGCAGCACTGGTTAAGTCAGAGTGAACGTGTTGAAATACAGACCTCGGCATTTTTTATTTTAGTTTGATAAAAGAGAGAGATATATCTTTCAAAAAAACAGCATCCTGTGTAAACTAAGATTTAAACTTAACATTATTCCTAGTCATGCAGGAAGTCCAGAAGAAAAAGAACTATGGATAATCAGTTAAAAGAACTGACAGATACCCTGATGTGTTGATCAGTAGTAATACCTAATTTCTATTTCAAGTGTGCTATAATGGATTACCATATAGATGCAGCAAAGCACTAAGCATTAAATAGATCTATGTGGTTTCTGAAAGAGTGATATTATTTCACACTGTGGGGTTTCTTAAAATATTTATTAGTGTACTGTGAAACTAGAAACAAGATGTCAATAGCCAGTTTGGATTCACAGTGGTATTGCTAGAAGTCCAGGCTAGAGTGGAAGAAACTATCATTTGTTTTATAAGAATGGCCATACGTGTTTTTTAGAACACCAGGGCTTGGGAGAGTGTAGAAAATGTTCTTGGAAATGCTGAGTTGAAAGGACAACAACTGGAGATTGTTCATGACTTAATGCAATCTTATGTCACACTCTAACACCATCTTTGTCTGGAGACTCTAATGCACACATGTGAAAATTACTGGTTAAAAGGCATTCCGGCTGTAACTTTGAATTTTGTAACATTTGGAATTTTTTATTTAATAGTGCAGACTTTTAACGATGATAAGTTATTTTTGCATTGCAGGAACAAATGTGGACTCTGAATTTAGAGTATTTATATTCATTGTAATCTGCAACAAAACTCATATCTTCAGTAGGTAGCTGAGATGCTAGCAATTTAATTTGATTTTTAAAAATTATTTCTGTTTACTGTTTGGTAGAACTATGCAGGTGGTTAGTCACATCTTTGCATTTTTTTCCAAAGTGCATTTGTATATCTATATTTATTTATTTTTTTTCCCCCGGTCTTGAGATGCTGAAAAGGAGAATGGCACGGGAAATTACATAGGTGTCTCATTTTTTGCAATATGAAAATATTTTTGGATATGGAAGCTTCCCTCAGATAGAAACTTCTGTCCTCCTAATATTTATTTCAACCTTTGAAATATTTTGATTCGTTCACCTGACGAGGGTGTTTGATTCTGTTTTTTTTTTTAGAGAAAAAAACCCCTATAAGCGTATTCTATTCTTTCTCAACCCTCCCAGCTTCGTGCCATTTAGAGTTGAAGCTTGCTTTTCCTGGTGCTTCTTGTGTTCTGCAATAGCATTTGATTTCCAGGTTTGCTCTGGGCATAACCTAAAATTCACTAACACTCGGATGCAAAAGTTGGTATTAATCTCTTTTCCAAAATGGAGCTTTATTATGCAGCTTTGCCACCTTCTCAGCTTAGGCATCTTATGCTTTGTCGTAGTTCACTTTCTGAAGTAAAAAGTATTGGAGTTTAGGTGAAATTGTGTGCTGTTGGAGATGCGATGGCACATGGTAAAGGCGGTGCCTCTGGCCCTTCCAAAATAACAAATAACAGCGAAGGTGCAGCAAACAGCGGCTGCAGCAAAACCCAACTTCCCTCAACGCCCTGTTGTGTTTTCAAACAGCTAACAAGCCGTGGGTGCTTATTTGGGTCCTGAATCAGTTGGGATATGTGAACTGCAAAATTACTCTTAAGAATGTTGCTGAGGCTCTTGGGAAATAGGAACTGTTTCTTTTGGCAACTAAGGAAAACTTAGTTGTACGTCATCAGATTAATTTCAAAAACTTTTGTTCATAACACACGAGGATGCCATGCCTGGTGTTTAAGTGTGCATCAGACACTTGGTGGAGTAGACGTATATTTTCAATAAAGAACTTTACTGTAACGTCTGAAATATACTAAGGTGTGCATTTTCACTAGTAGTATTGCCAGATTTTGACAAATTTCTGATATAGAAGTCCTTGATCTTTTTAGAAGTTTAATACAGCATGTTTTCAAAAGTTAGTGTCTTGAAACAAAGGAGAAAATTTACATCCAAAGACAAGCTGAAGGTATCTTGTTAGTATGGCCTGTAAAAGGAAAATGGTTTTGCTCTAGCAATCTACTGTGTACTGCTTATAATGATTTAAATAATGGAAACAAAATATATGGGGTTTTTGTCATGTTTTTTCCATAATAAACGAGGAGATGTTTTGAAGGTTCCTCCCTGCAGTGTGTTCTGATACTGGAATCCAGACAACTTTTTGTTGCCAGTTTGTCTTATAGTTTTGTTTAATGAAGCCTTTCTTCCCACACTTTGGGCCTGGGTGTGATGGGTCTGAGGTGTGCCTGGGTAGGGCCCCAGCTCTGCACACAGGGTGCCACCGCTCTCGCAGGGACCTGAAGGTATTCATGACTTGGGTCAGAAGCTCCTTCCTGCCCTGTGTCCAAGTTAAGTACAGATTGATGTCAGAGATAGTCTTGAGAAGTGGTGGGCTGCTAGTATTTTACAATTTAGATATATAATGATCATTCTTTGTCTGTGGATCCCGCAATCTGGTTGGCAGAAATGTGGTCCTTAACTAACAGGTAAAGCCCAAATGTGAATCATGGCCTCATTTTTAGCCAGTCAGATCCTTCATCCCAAGCGCGTTCCTCCTGCCCATGGATTGGGAGCTAGACCTCTGGCCACCAGCTGCCCGCTCCTTTTGGTCCCTGCTGCCACGGTGTCCTGGGGCAGGAACTGTGGGAGTAACACTGAAACGAAATATACTGGGAACATAGAAGGGATTTGCATTTTTATTCTATTCAGAAATGTCAAACACTATTTGGGGAGCGTGTGCTACGGCAAAGAAGTCTGTCTGTGTGACCCGAGGTCTAGTTCCCAAAGTCTATGAACTTGTCATGACTTCCATCTTCTGCCATAGAGAAAGGAATGTTCCATTTTCAAAAAGACTCTATTTTGAGTGTTGTATATAATTTCTGAAGCACTTTGTTGTCAAAAATAAAAAAAAAGTCTGTCTTATTCCATCTCTTGAGCATACTGTTTTTAACAGCAATAATGATTCATGTGTTGGCCGTCTCTGAAGGGTTGCCTAAAATGCCAATTCTTGCTTTCTTGGCTGTGATGCTTTATTTCCTCTTGCGAGCTTTTATGTGCAAAAGACCAACAAATGGGTCACCGTTGCTTCAATGACTTGTCGTTCATCCTGCATCCTGCATGTAGTATTTCTGAAAACTTAATGGCGCTTTGTTGTGCAGAAGTTTGTTCCAGTGATTTTGTTTGATAACTAGAAGGAGCTCTGACTGTTAGTCATTTGTAACATTGTGTAATTTAATTTTGTTTCCAAAAGAAGATGTTGAAAACTATTTTCTCATTTAAATATATCTTCTTAATTTCATGACTGAGAAATCGTAAGATCCAGACAGATTCTTCTGTGGAATCTACATGAAACCATGTTTCTTTTTCCCACTTTTTTTGAGAGACTGAGCAGCAATAAGTTAGCTGTCCTGTACTACTAATGCACCTACTTGCCGAGCCCTAGTCTATACAACTAATAGTTTAAAAAAGAGAAAACAAGGGGAAAAAAAAAAAAACTAATAGTTTAAAAAAGAGAAAACAAGGGAAAAAATAATATCTCTTGGAGCCTGTTAACTTGAAGTACTTTAAAAAGACATATTAACCCAAGTAAGAGCCCTAAATAATTTTGATCAGATTATTTAATAGCATTACCATCCACTAAACTGACAAAGAACAACGTTTAGTAGCCCCAACTGTTCAACTAAGATTATAAGACTCCATTCAGGAAAGCACTTAAGCATATGCTTAAATTGCTTTGCTTTGTCGGTGCCCTGGAGCGTAACAAAACTAAGGGGGAATGGGTTTGACCACAACCTCTTTCTTTGTTTGATCTGCCTCTGTTAGGATCAGTCCAAAAGTACAGAGGCAGGCCACTACATATTATTCCCCATAAGTGCTTTATTAACTGCGTGTGCTGTGAATTAAATTAGTCTAGCTTTGTGTAATTTGGCTCGGTTTCACTCACAGGTAAATCATCTCTCGGTAAAAATAACGGCACCGCTGTTCAGCTCTGCCGCAGCGGGGAGATGAGAGCCCCTTAGCTGATGGAAAGACAGACCGAAGCCCCAGAAGCTCAGAATCTGGACTGTTAGCAGCAGTCATTACCAGACGCTTCAGAAAAATATAACCCAAAGTGAGCTTCTTAGACATCTGCAACTTCATTAGAAATCTGTTTATATTCTGGAATACTAGGGTTTTGCAAGGAAAGGGAAGGTGGTTCACGACAGTGTCATGATATTTGTTCAGGACCATTCCTAGTGTCTTTCTCCTTAACAAGAGAGTAGAATAATGGGCAGGAGTCCTTGCTATGATAGGTATTTGCTTTTGATTGTGTCCTCTGTGTATATATTACCATTTCATTTATGTCTTGTGTATTAGTTTGTCTCTCTCCTCTGAATGAGCCAGTTTATTATGGAAATTTTGACTATTTAGTTTTGTTTCCTGCAGAAAATATTGCAGCTACTACCTGAGAGGATTTTTTATCGATGGCATTTTCGCAGTATAGGTAAGAAGGAATGGTTTAAAAACATTGTAGTACAACTAAAATAAATGTTTTCTGTAGTCATATCCGGGTTCTGCAAGTCCTGTTAACCATAGGATCCTCTAGGATTTCCCATACCCAAATAGTACTGACATACGAGACTTGCAGCTGAAAATTCTCAAAGCCTATGGAAAATCTTTTTACTTGTCGTATCAACTCTGTGACCTCCTTGATTTGTGTGGTTTTGGTTGCCTGCCTCATTTTCATTTTGCACAAATGCTCTTTAAATTTTTCTGTTCTGGGATTTACCTGGGTCCTTTTCCCTTCCTTTTCTTTCATGTGCTAGAAACTACCAAGATGATGGGGGGGGGGGGAAAAACCAACACGCCTTTTTCTAATTAGGTCTCCCTTTGTACAGACTAACACCAAAAATTAAGATTGAGGAGGGGTTGTGCGATCTGTATGTGGCTCTTGCAGATTTGCAGGCTTTTGTAAGTGGTCCTATATGAGATGCCAATACAAATTTGTAGGACTAAACATTGCCCTCTGCCTAACGGTAGATGCTGTGTTGAACTCGACCCTTGGCAATTTGGGGAAATTTTTTTTCTGTAAAACTTAACCCTGTGACTGGGTGGGGAAGGTTTGGTAGTTGAGCAGAGGCTGTGCTAAACCAAATGCAAAGCATGGGGCTGCTGCAGCAAACAGGAGCCTAATTTCTTCTCTGCTATTCCTGTGTTCTCTGTGCAGCTTAGTTCATTACTATTTGTGAAACACTCAATTGTCACGCTATTTGTGGGAATTAAATGAGGAATCTCTGGTTTAGAGCTGGGATAGTGAAGGAAAGAGCGTAAGGAAAAAAAAAAAAAACAAAACTTTTTAGTAGGGCTTTTTGAACAATTTTTATTTTAATGACTGGTCCATAACTTTTACTGGCCTTTATAAGTGGAATTATGAATACATGGTATTTCTGCAAGCTTGGCCCCAGCTGTCTTTCACCGATTGTCATATACTGGGGGATTTGCCAAGCATCACGTTTGAATATGACACTGGTCGTTACAGACACGAGATACGAGTGAAGGGCATTCACTTGGCCAGACAGAGACTGTCCTTTCTCTCCCCGGGCTCCTGCAGTATTTACTGTACATATTCTGGCTTCAGGAGCGAGGGAAGGAGTAGGATTCTGGCAGAGAGAAGTCGTGCAGTTAGTAAAGCTTTGCTTTTTTTTTTTTTTTTTTTCTTAGCCTCTAATTTATTCCTCTCCTCATTTGACCACACTGAATAAAACAGGAGTCAAATGGGTGCAGAAATATCAAAGGTTGAAATACATTTATTTTGGTAGTCAAAACACTTTGAAATCCAAGTAGTTTAACTTGATAATTTCCTGTGAATTAAACATCTTTGATTCATCACTACTTTGAAAATTCTGCTTCTGAATGCTACCAAAGTGCTCACAACCTTTTGTTTTGCTGTAAATTTTAGGCTGCTTTGGCGGGGGGTGGGGGGTGGTGTTATTATTTCCTTGTAGTATTATTTTTTTTGTTGTGGTTTGGTTTGGTTTCCAGCACAATTTCATCAGTTTCCATGTTTTTCATCAGAACAATGAATTTGCTGTTGCAGAAGAAATAACGAGTGGAAGTTAAAGGTCAAGGAAAGGGCTGTTGTCACGTTTCCAGTTAACACTGACAAAAATAAAAGCAGACATCTGCTTGACCACTTTCCTACCATTTCATCTGAATTATTCCGGAACAAATTGGTTTTAGTCAGTTGTTTTATAGCTAATATATTATGCTTTTTTGAATAGTCATATTTGGATACTTTTTTAGCTGTGTCCAGTAAATGATTTGCAAAATTTGGCGGTGCAATTATTTACAGCTGTACCTTGTGATTTGCTTCTTGCTTGATGTTCATGTGCATTAATATGTATTTGCTATATATGTTAATAATTTCCCTTTAATACTGTGAAATGTTGAGATCTTGAGGGAAGGATCACATTTAAGGAATGTACATAATTCACAAAACCAGGAAAAATAACAGCCGAGTGCTGCATCGTGTAATTTTTCTCAGAATTGAATTTAAAACATTTTTTTAACTTAAGCATTTGATGTATAATCTCTCTCTGATTTTTAGGTCAGACATTTGAAGCTAAGGGCAGTGAGCCTGCTATTTCTAAAACCAAAATTGAAATATTTTGCAATTTTAAGAGTTGTGTTTTATAGACAGAAATGTAGTATAGATTGCTGGCATCATTTTCTTATCATTATTGTCAATACTAGTGTATTTTAATACATTAATCCTGCAAGTTAGACTTCTTGATTTCTCCAAATCTAATAAGTCAAAATTTCCCCTAGATATCTTTTTTAATGAAAATAATTTGAGAACTTGTCATCTGACTAAAACCAAAGTACCTCACTGTAAGGATACGTTATATTTAATCTTATAGCACCGATGATGATAATAATCAGATTCACTGCGGGTGTTTTCACTCCATATTTTTCTTTTTCTTAACCACCAGTGCAGTAGCCATGTCGTAAATGGCATTAAACTAGCCTTTTCCTAGTATTTTGTAAAAATCATTCTGATGGAAAGTGACCACCTTAGTATCTGATACATGCCTATTACATTTTTTTAATCCAGGGTCGATTCTGAAGAAACTTTTGCACACTGGAAATTCTCTCAAGGTATTTGTTTGATGCTGTATTCGTATTTCTTTTAACTTTAATTGTTATGAAGCATATTGCTTTACAGTTTTCCAATATCAGTGTTTTTTCAGATTTTCAGGCTTTGTAATCTTACTTACCTTCTAGTCATAAATTTTATTATTGTAATCCTAGATTATTTTAATATTTATCTTTGTCAGCTGTGTTGCTGTTCTAATGACCTTTGTAAAGTTACCTGGAGAAGGTATTAATGTATTTTGCTTAATGCTTTATTTTTTGGATCTCTGTAGCACTTAGTATACTGTATTAAACATATTGACTTCTTGTTTGCCAAAGAGTTTTAAATCCATTTCTTTTTCTCAAAATACATTGCTGAAATGAAAATTGCATCTTGTTAATAAAAAACCCCAGTAAATAAACTTAGTAAATTTACTGAATGCCCTGCCCTGGGTGGTGGTGTTGCATCTTGGTTCTCACGAGGATCTTCTGATCCCAGCCATATTTTTCACAACAGAATCACAGAATCCCATGGGGTTGGAAGGGACCTCTGGAGATCATCTAGTCCAATCCCCTGCCAGAGCAGGTCCACCCAGAGCAGGTCCCACAGCAACGTGTCCAGGTGGGGTTTGAATGTCTCCAGAGAAGGAGACTCCACCACCTCCCTGGGCAGCCTCTGTCAGGGCTCTGCCACCCTCACAGGAAAGAAGTTGCTCCTCATGTTTAGGTGGAACTTCTTCTATTCAAGTTTGTGCCCATTTCCTCTTGTCCTGTCCCTGGGCACCACTGAAAAAATGACTGGCTCCATCCTTTTGGGACCCACCCTTGAAGTATTTATAGGTGTTGATCAGATCCCCCCTCAGCCTTCTCTTCTCCAGACTAACAGCTTGCTTTGACCTCTGTGGAGCCAAGATTTCAGACTTAGCAGGGCACGAGGTATTGGCAGCTGCCTGGTTCTGCATTACACTTGCTGTTGTACTTCCAGAGCCCCTTTTGAGGTTGTGTCTTGAGACTAGCCAAGGTGCATTTGGCCCCGGGAACTGGGGGAGTGGGAATTAGAACTTTTTGGCCTCTGGTTGGAGTGCTAATGCTGTCTCCTTGGAGTGCCACCATCTGGGGACAGCTTGCTCCCACCCTTCTCTGCTCATGATTAAATTAATAATATGATTACTCTTGGTACCATGGAAAGACTGACGAGCACGTAGCTGGGATGAAAGGACTTCTCCTGCATTTTCTTAACTCTCTTACTGTGTTACTGTACACGCAGATTTGTTTTAATATGTTTTTCTACAAAATCATCCCCTTGTAGATAAGATGTGAAGGAATTCGACTGTTTCTTCTCTGGCTTCAAGCGCTTCAGACTAACTGTGCGGATGAGCAGATATTAATATTTGCATGCCTTGTGCCTGGCTTTCCACCCATCATGTCTTCTCGAGGTCCCTGTACCCTCGATAACCTCATTAGTCCTCCTTATTCGCCAGACGGTGAGTAAATGAACAGTATTTCCATGATGGGTGTATTGCTTCCCCTTTCCACTGAGGCCCTTGGAGCTGTAGAGTTTCTTGTGGGGAAGATGTCACATGAATGATAACTATTTGTCTTTATAATTCAGAGATGTATTGAATTTGTCAAGCTATTGTATTTGTTGCAGCTGTATAGCCTCCCGATCTTGTCATTCTGAGTTCAACATGATTGGGGTTGGTTTGTTGTTTTTTGGTGGTGTTTTTTTTTTTTTAATCGAGATGCAGCTGTAGGAACGTGTTGCTGCAAAGTAAGTAGACGTGTGGATTTACATCTCATTGGTTAATCTGCGGTGATTGCTTGTGTTAACCCTTCCAAACTGCAGTAAATCAGAGGTTGGTGCCATCCTTGATTGTTTGTGGTAGGACTTGGGGAAATATGGGAAGCCCAAGCAGTTACTGGACTTTGACTTTGTACAACATAGTAGCACGTTAATGATTATTTTAAAATTAATATTTTTATCGAAAATATATTTTACTTAAATATTTTCACATTTTCTATGTTTAAAACTTTTTTTTTTTATTTTAGCTAAGATTTTTCCAGAAGAAATCACTCCCCTTTTGCCAGCTGTCTCTGGAGAGAAAATTGCTGAAGACCAAACCTGCTATTTTCTTCAGTTACTGTTAAAATATATGGTAATTCAGGTGCGGAGTATTTTTTTTTTTTTAACTATTCACATTTGGAGGAATGTACTTGTGGTAGAAAACTATGTCTACACTGTATCTGAATGGAGCTGGTTTTGCTCCTGCCCAGGAAGAAGCTGTCTTCTGCACTTTCTTATTCTTGTTTTTAAAAGGAAAATCATCCCAAAGGTATTTCCTTGTGCCATTTTTTGTGAAAATAAGAAGTTTTTCACACTTGTGATAAGAATTAATGAATGTTACCCACACTTGCAGGGTAACAGACTATTTTATGAGCTTGTGGTCCCATTATACAAATTGATGTAGAGGAAAGATGCAATTTGTTCTATCTGGACACATATATAGCTGAGAAGACATGTAAAGGACCACTGGAGAGAAAGCTAAACAGGAGAGATAGCTTCTGAGATTTTTTTTTTAAAAGGATGCAAGTAACATGTACATCAAAATTTTAATTACAGATTAATCTGATCTATTTTGTACAGGAAAGAAATTAAAATAATGTACACATTTAAGTACAAATTGAGCAACATTTTAAATAAAGTGGAAACTGTATGGACAATGAATATTAAAGAACTCAATATTAAAAAAAAAGATAATGAAATACTTTGAGATGCCTTTTGATATTAAAAAAAAAAAGTAAGACCAAAATGATATTTGGAAGAGGTTTTGTCATCTTGAATAAATGCTTTATTTTGAAAAGTGGGTGTATGAAATTACCTACTTCCTGCATGGCACCATTTGTTTTATGTATCAGACTTTGAGATGCCTTTTGATATTAAAAAAAAAAAGTAAGACCAAAATGATATTTGGAAGAGGTTTTGTCATCTTGAATAAATGCTTTATTTTGAAAAGTGGGTGTATGAAATTACCTACTTCCTGCATGGCACCATTTGTTTTATGTATCAGAGTCTCACAGCACTGCAGTTAAAAAAAAATACTTTCACTGTTCTTTTCATGCTCTTATTATATGTTTGGGGTCTAAAAAACTGACTACACTGCAAATACAATTGGATTGTGGTTCACCAGCATTCATTTATTTGTGTTGCTTGGTAAAGGGGAGCACAGTTGGGCAGTAACCTTCTTGCTACAGACAAGAGATGAAATTAAAATAATCTGATGCAAGTGCAGAATGATTGTTCAGAGCCAGAACATAGAGCAAATTTACATCTTCAAGAAAATTTATGTCCAGAACTGGATAGAATTTGAGTCAGTTTATTTACACAACAAATAAAATGATACAAAAACTCACTAGTCATGTTTCCAAGGTCTATATGTGTGTTTTGCAAAAGTAGAACATTGCAAGTTCCACAATTTATAGAGATTTGGAAAAAGATCCAGTACAGATTAAAGTAAGCAAATATGTTATAAAAAAAAATTAAATCTCATGTGACTGTAAACAAGTCATTTTTTCTTTAATTTAACAAATTGTCATCTCTGATTCAGTGAAATTGTTACCTGTTATATACGGTTGTTAATCTTTTGTTTTCAATGTGGAATGATTATCAGTGCAATACGTTAACTTAAAGCTTTTTTTTGTTTCTCTTTAACTCCATGACAAAGGCTGCAAGCTTAGAGTGGAAGAATAAGGAGAACCAAGACACTGGTTTTAAATTTCTCTTTACCTTGTTTAGGAAATACTATCTCCCTCACTTGTTTCCATCTTTTACAAAGCTAACCAACCTCTACAAACCTGTTCTTGGTAAGTAGTGGCTTTTGTCTTTTAAGTAGGAAAATAAATTATGACGACTGTTCTCAGCAGCATGCCTGTCACCTGCTGGTGTATCACTAAGGTTTCTGGTGCATGAGGATTTTTTCCTCCCTTTTCTTGTGTTCTGATTGTTTTTCTAGCACAACTTTTGATTTTCTGAGATAGTCCAGGGAGCTGCTGCCGCTCATCACTGCGTAAGCGTTGACCTGTTTCTCCCTTCCTAAGGATGTTTCCACTGGTGTAGCATTTGTATCGAGTGAACTGTGATATGTAATGAAGACAGAACACGCTCTCTCTGTTTTTAAAGAACCAGCCAGTTGTCCAAGTGTGAGGGAGTAGCTAACTTAGTCACTCTTACTTCATATTTCCTTGAACAGAACATGAGCGTGAAGGGCCAAAGGCAAGGAAATGGAGATGTACCTCTACAATTAAAAGCATGTTATTTCAGAAACGCTCATGTTTTACCTGATTTTCTACTGAATTATGTGTTAAGAGTCCATAGGGGTGGTGTTGTTAATACTCACCTGATGTACTGCAGCCTCTTCTTCAACATCCTTCCCCTCCCTCCTCTGACTTTCAAGTCCTGTCCTTGCAGTTTAATATTTAGTGTTTAAAATCACCTTAGTGCCACTTCAGCCGTGTTGTTCACAGCTAGAGCCCAGGCTTTGCATGTTTTGCTGCTGTGTGCAAGTGATTTTTCCCTAATTCTAACCATCTGAATTAATTATGATCCACCCTTTCTCCCTTTGGCAGTCTTCCACTTCTCCCCACGTGTTTTCTTTCATTTCAGCTCTTTGCACCTGAGTTAACTTCTCTTAGCAATGCACTAAGTATCCTTTTTCTTCCTAATCTTTGCGCTATTGAGTGTTAGAGTCATCTTCTCTGTCTCACTGTACTTTATTAATAAATAAAACTCTGAAACTTATAAAATTAACTTACATTGTAGTAGTTCTTTTGTTTCAGATCTTGCCCTTCTTTTTGCAGCCCTTCTCTTTTGCTTTCCTTTGTTTTGTGTGATACAAGTCATAACCTTCAGGGAAGATCTGTGCCTTTATGTTCTTGCTTTTCTTTAGGGGTAATAAAATTATGATAGAATATAAACGTTAATATGATAAAAGCAATCAGTCATTGCATCGGTAATTTCATATGGAGAAAATGTTGTTGGTGACGTGTTCAATACACTTAATCAGAATCTGGAAGCGATTACAGGTTTTTAAGATTTGGTTTTCTTTATATCTTCTGTTTTTATCTCACCAGATATTCCTGATGTAAGGCCAAGACCAGTATACATTACTGCAACACGAAACAATGAAAGTGTCTATAGCACAAAAATCCCATACATGGCAGCTCGAGTTGTTTTTATTAAGTGGCTTGTTACCTTCTTTCTTGAAAAGAAATATTTAACTGCTGTTCAGAACACAAAAAATGGAGGAGAAATGCTCCCTAAAATTATTCAGGTGTGCTTTAAAGTTTACCTTTCTTCTCTTACGTACGTGCTAACCTTGCAAATGATCACAGTGCACTGGCAACTGAAGCAAGAAAGAAATGCTACCCCCAAGTGAATAAATGATGTACTTGATTATCTTATGCTTTTGTCTTTGATGGAGGGAATCTCCGAGGGAAATCTTTTTGTAATTTACTAGAACTTTTTTTCCTCATGGCTGTTTTACTTAACACCGAGGGAAATCTTTTTGTAATTTACTAGAATTTTTTTTTCCTCATGGCTGTTTTACTTAAGATTGGTGGTGCTGGTTAGACTTTCAGAATTTAGTCCGTAAACTGTCAAATGTATTTGTGCCATGAACTATTTTCCAGCAGCATCCAAGGCTGCCTTGTTTTTCCTCTTGATTATAGCAACTGTTTACAATGAGATATTAGAAAAATATTTCACTGTCAAATTGCTGGTTGAGACTTCTCTGCGATTAGGCACTCCACAATGAATTTTATAGAAATAGATGCTTTTTCCTCTAAGAGAGTCTCCAGCTTCCTGCTAAATGTTTAGAATCAATGTCAAGTAATATTCTTTTCTCGAATTGTAGGTCAGTGTAAAATCTGGATTCAGCAGAAAAGCATATGTTAACTATTATGGTAGAACTGTGTATTCTCATGTCAATTGTTTTTGGAGTTCTTAAGTGTAGCTTACCTACTGAAAGTGCTTTTTTAATTGAACTTTTCTTTCTCATTGGAAATCCCATCTTTTGTATAAACTGCTGTGCCATTCACACAGACATAGCCTGGAAAAGAATTTTATTATTTTTTTCTCTGAATTTTACAAACAGCTGACACCAGAGAAATACATGGGTTGCATGAAAGCATTGCTGCCCTCCAAATGAAGCTGAAGCCACGTGCCAGCATTTGGCACTTGTTGAGTTCTTAGTAGTTTTGAAGTTCACTTACTGTAGCCTGTGCCTCGCTGATGGGGCTGAATCTTGCCAAAAAAGTTAATTTTGAAAAGCAGTAGAGACATTATTGCTGCTCTGTTACTGCACACTTGGTGACACAGTGGGCAGCCGTATTAATGTGAACATAAAGAAAAGCTGCATTTGGGTGGTACTTTGAGTTAGTGTAAGTTGGGGTGTTGGGGTTCTCTTTCTGGTAACTCAAAAGCAGTTTTTCAGTTTTCTGTGTTCTCCTGGTTGGATCATTTTAGTAGACATGGTTCAAGATGTTGCAAAAAACATGGAATACCAGAACAAAACCTGACAAAGAGTTGTTGGGAGTAATAATGTGTAAAAGCATCAGCCATGTATAGTGGTGTGGTTAATTTTTTTCCCAAAAAGAAAGGGACCTGGGGATTCCTCTTCACTGTGTCTGTGCCTTTTCCCACTCCCACCACAGCACCTTTCCCTTTTTTTTGGTTTTACGGAGTGGACAAGTCAGTCAGCAGTTCTGGGCTTGGAGGGGGGCGTACGAAGTGGTCATCATCTAGAGTATAATATAAGCCCAAATTCCTTCCTGGATCAAGCAGTAGACAGAAAACGGCTCTTCCTGACTGCTGGGATCCCAGCGTGTTGTGTGGAGAGAAAAAAGCACTAGTATCTTGAGTTCTTTGTAAGTATTCCACATTTTTGGTGTACGCTATGTTGGTTACTTAATGAGGTGTGGCGTCTTCTTCTGTGTAGACCGTTGGTGTTGTAAACCAAGATAAAAACGCAGAGCTGGAAACCAGTATGTCTTACTCAAGCGAGCAGGAGAGAAGCCATTCCAACAGCAGCACCTTGTCTGACAGAAGGCTCAGCAATTCCAGCCTCTGCAGCATCGAAGAGCAGCATCGGACCGTCTATGAGATGGTGCAGAGAATCCTCTTATCCACTCGGGGATATGTTAACTTTGTTAATGAGGTGTTTCGCCAAGTAAGTGTGCGTGTTTAGTTGCTACTGTATTGTTATTATTGTTATTTTTTGAAGGAAATGTCATGGTTGTGAGAGAGAACACTGCAGAGTGGGGACAGAGTGTATCCTCAGCAAGTTTGCTGATGATGCCAAACTGGGAGGGGTGGCTGACACCTCAGAGGGCCGTGCTGCCATCCAGCAAGACCCGGACAGGCTGGAGAACTGGGCAAGGAAGAACCTCATGAGGTTCAACAAGGATAAGTGTAGGATCCTGCACCTGGGGAAGAAGAATGTTAGGCATCAATACAGGTTAGGGGTGGACCTGCTGGAGACAAGCTCTGAAGAAAAGGATCTGGGGGTCCTGGTGGACAGCAAAATGACAATGAGCAAGCAATGTACCAAGAGGGCCAACGGAATCCTGGGCTGTGTAGGGAAGTGTGTGGCCAGCAGGTCAAGGGAAGTCATTCTCCCCCTCTACTCTGCACTGGTGAGGCCACAACTGGAATCCTGTGTCCAGTTCTGGGCTCCCCAGTTCAAGAGGGACAGGGAACTGCTGGAAAGAGTCCAGCGTAGGGCAACGAAGATGATTCAAGGATTGGAGCATCTCCCTGATGAGGAAAGGCTGAGAGAGCTGGGACTCTTTAGTCTGGAGAAGAGAAGGCTGAGGGGAGACCTCATTAATGCCTACAAGTACTTCAAGGGCGGGCTGAGGGAGGAGGGAACCAGGCTCTTTTCAGTAGTTGCCAGTGAGAGGATGAGGGGCAACGGGCACAAGTTGGAACATAAAGGGTTCCTCTTGAATATGAGGAAGAACTTTTTCACGGTGAGGGTGGCAGAGCCCTGGCACAGGCTGCCCAGGGAGGGTGTGGAGTCCCCTTCTCTGGAGATTTTCAAGACCTGCCTGGATGCTCCTGAGTAACATGCTCTGACAAGCTCTAGGCAATCCTGCTTCAGCAGGGGAGTTGGACTAGATGATCTCTATGGTCCCTTCCAACTCTAAAAAAAAATTCAATGAAAGGCTGATGGTCGGGCAACTGATTGACCTTGACACTAATCACACCAGCACCCTTTTAGTTCGGAGTCCTTCCTAGGCCTAGTTTGAACAACAAAATTATGAATTTTTGGTAGGAACTGAAGCTTGTTGCTGATGCTAGACGGCAACGTGTCTTATTTGAATGGGCCGCTTTATTTGTTCTTGGTATTATGTTGTAATTTAAAGGTGTGTAAAGAGTTTTTTAGCTTGGAAATTTGTCATTTGAATTAGTAAGATTCTTTTTCCTGTAATCAGTGTCAGTATCTAATGTCTTTTTGAGTATTGATTGCTTCTGCTGGTATTTTTCATTAATTTGACATCTTTTCAATTGTTTGGGGTAAAAATACATGCGGACCTACTGGAGGGTCCTAGTCTTTTGGATTTTGGGGGTTTTTTTTTGGTCTGGTACAAAGGTAGAAGTTGGTTGAAGCAGCAGTTCCAGTAAACGTGCAGAAGATGCTCTCCAGCAGCTGAGCGAGCACACGTGCTTTACTATGAAGTGTCTTGCCTAACACAGGTTAGGAACTCCTTGTACCACTGCTTTTCAGTGGGATGGGTGGCATTTTGACAGGAAGGATACACTTTTGTGTATGTTGAGAGCTGCTGTGGCATGCTGCCCTCTCCTGGGGTTTGGTACAAGTATGTAAGGTCAGACCAGCTTCCAGGGAGCAAAGGCTCATGTGTTGCAGTGCTTCTGTCTTTTTTCAATATGATCAGCGTCCAGTAATTGGAACAGATGATAGTATTTGCATCCTTTTTGTGTTCCTCGCTCCCTTACAGCGGTATCACTAGTCACTGTGAACCTCCTCTACGTTTTGGGGTTTTTTTTTTGGTCTTTCTATCCTAGTTCTTAGCCTTTCTGAAATCCTTCTGCGTAGTGCCCATTCATCCTGGTGACAAGCTGTTGTTTCTCTAATATTCTAGCAGTTAGCTTCTGGCACTTTCAGTTCCTGCATCCATAATAAGTTGACAGTGTCTGAAGATGTTTTCAGAAATGTCACATACCATCTTGTATGGCATATTTACACTTGCTTCTGCTAACCCTTCAATTTCTCTTGAAATCAGCTGTTGGATGTTGCGCTTGATGCTGACTAGAGACAAGGAAGCGTACTTTGTGATGCAAAGATTTCCCCTAACCTTAGTAAGATACCTTTGTGGTGGTTTTGCAGCCAACCTGGGCGTAGGAAATGCTATGGTTTTTGACCCTTTTTAATGATGGAGAGTGGGTAATCTTCATAGTTGAAAGGATTTATTTTTTAGTAGGATAAATGTGTGTTTGTCTCTCTCGGTGGTTTTATACTGTAATGCGTATTGATACACGTTTTTTTCTTGGTGGTAAAATGTAGCGTGTTGAAAGTAAATTCACTGTGTTGATTTCCAGAACTGTAGTGAGAAAGGATCAAGTGCCAGCCACTGTTATCCTCATCACAATTTACTGTCTTGTCTATACCGACACTTGATGAACTGGCATTTCACATCATGCAGTGCTGATACACAAAGTCATCTTCTCCAGACAGCGTAGTGTAGCACCCAAGTTTAGCCTGCCAGACTCCTGGAGCTAGTCATGGCTTGTGAGATGAATCCATGTTAAGTTAGAGAGCTTGCAAGGGGCAAAACCAAGCTTTTTCTTCTTGTGCCAACAAATACAGCATGGAAGTAACTGGAACTAATGGTTTTGGAATTATGAATGATGTAGGTGTATGCATAGGTTGTTGATTAATCCTAACTACTATAGGCACAAAAGTAAAAATTATGTATCCTTTCTTTTTTGAGCTGTATTATTTATGGGTAAATATTATTTAAGTGTGAGTGTTTATCTTTGCATGCACATCTATGTCCTATATATAGTAAAACTAGTTAACTTTTCAATTTAGGCTTTTTTATTGCCACCTTCTGATATATCTGCAACACGGAAAGTGGTGAAGGTGTATCGAAAGTGGATATTGCAAGAGAAACCTGTGTTCATGGAGGAGCCAGACAAAAAGGAAGATGGTCAGGACGCTATTGTCAACTTAGAGGATTCATCAGTGCAAACGGATGGTAAACATGTATGATATCAGTGTTACTTCCTTTATTCTCTTCACCTACGACATACGCCTTAAGTTTTAAACTCGCTTTGTAAATGACTAACAATTTAAAAAATGCGTGGGGAATCAAGATTTAAAAATGCTTTTATATAAGGTCCAGAACTTTAAATAAATATCGAGTGTTCAGTAGCCCTTACTGAGTGAAGGGAAAGATTGCAGCTGTTTTGAAAAATGTAATTTGTTCATTATTCAGTGTTTATACAAATATGATAGCAAGAACTTCATGGAAGAAATACTGATACGTTCTGCAGTGTTAAAATTTATAATGTCTGTTGGCCTGGTACATGTAGGACTATTTCCTTTTGGTGGTAATTAATTAAGAATTTGAAAATATCTACTAGTTTGTATGTACTGGATGCAATACTTGGATTCAGACGCCTTAATAGGAAACTAAAGTGTAGATAGAAACTCTGTGTATCATCTTTTTAATACCATATTGAACCATCAGTAAGAGGTGACTTTGACGCTATTAACACTGTGAAGCTCTTTAAAGAGAACTTTTGTTGTACTAAGGAGGAGGTTGGAATTGTAAAAACATAGTGAGAATTACAAGGTTTGACAGATTATTTTTGTAGGGGATGTATAGTTTTGTCAGGCTTAAATGCATATATTACTACAGTCAGTGACTACAAAATGCGATATAAAATATTTTAAACAACAGAGTTCTTAAAAAATTTTATGACATGAATTCCTTGCTGAAATGAATGTAGGACATGACAGTTCCCCCTTTTTTGCTTTTTGCGTTTTAAATGATTTTGAATAAATCTGGACATGCTCCTTTCTCCTTTGTCACTAACTGAATCCTGTTTTTGAAAGCTTTCCTCTGACCATTCAGGACACAAGCGTTCATCCAGCTGGGGAAGAACGTACTCCTTCACCAGTGCTGTTAACAGAGGATGTATATTAGAAGATGAGGACAAAAATGTTAAAGCTGGTGCTCAAGCTGCGTTACAGGTGTGATGTGTAGAAGGGTTACAAGGCTGTAATTTATGTAATCATGTGACTTACACTACAAATTACAATATAGTCTCTGAGATTAGGGAAAACTACCAGCAGTTGATGATTTTTCTAAGATTGGATTTGGACCTCATTTGTAAGTCTTTAAAAATTAATATTAAACCATGTGACCATGTATTAGAGCCAGGTATCTGTCTTAAGACAAAGTTCTTTTTTTTTTTTTCCTACTGTGGATACAAGGAATTAATCAGAACTGTACATTTGCTTTCATTGAACCTCATTTATGGGAAATATTGGTGGTTGCTCAAGCATATAATGTCAGGAAATGAGTAGCTGGAGGAGTCCTCTTGCCTGACTGAAGAGGTACCTACACAACCCATACTGTGCAATGCGTGCCTTTTTGGGGCTGTAATGCTGTCTGACTTTTCGCTGGAATGATGTAGAAAAATAAAGTGACAGCTAAAACATGAAACTTGCTCGAAGGATAGGGAAAGTTTTGACTGGAGGAGGATGAGTATTTTAAGGCTTGACTTTTTGTTTTTTTTTTTTTTATTTCCGACACTGCATAAACTGACTGTAAATGCCTGTCTTGAAGGTATTCTTGACAAACTCTGCCAATGTTTTCTTACTGGAACCGTGCATTGAAGTCCCAGTGCTTCTGAAGGAGCAAGTGGATGCTTGCAAAGCAGTGCTGAGTATCTTTAGGCGCATGATAATGGAGCTATCAATGAATAAAAAGACATGGTAAGCTTAATATATTCTGCATCATTTAAGAGAAAATTATCAACGCTTAAACTTAGGGGAGAATTATTGGGTAGGGAAAAGACTGGCTTTCTCAGGAATTGCCTCCAAATTGATTACTGAGATTGCAGGTTCTGCTGAGTCTCCATCATGGTTCTGTTTGGCTTCAGGATTCTGGCTGGTGTTTCTGTTCCTGACTTCACCTTCTGAAAAATTAGTTTATGCAGTCCACCACCAACTAATGTTATTTTTCAAATTATCTGGGTGTGTCTGAGGTGTGGTCGCATTCTCAATATGTAAGGCTTACTGGAGAATTAAGAGGGTGTTTTGGTATGTGAAAATTAACAAGTACAGTTAATAGAACATGTGAACAAAAAGTGCAATTTTGTTTTGGAACCAGGGAACAGATGTTACAGATACTCCTTAGAATAACAGAAGCTGTGATGCAGAAGCCAAAAGAAAACCAAATAAAGGATATGTTTGCTCAGAGCATGTCGGGATTACTTTTTCGAGTAAGTGTTTGGGTTTTTTTTTCATTCGGTTGGTTTTTATGTTGATTTTTCATGATGATTACCCATAGTTTTAGTTAAATACTATTGCACAGTACTATAACAACTACTTGTAAAACATGAAAAAATTCTCCTTTGCAGTAATACAAGTAATTATTTTGTAAACTGTTCCTAACAGAAGGAGACAGATTCCAGGTGCAACGAGCAGTTGATTTGACCTGTTCTTCAGGGCTCTGTTAGAAACAACAGTAGAACAGGCAGGCACACAGTCTCTGGGTGGGATATCTTCCATGGGAGTCTCTACTAATGGGGAAGCTTCCTGTAACTGTTTTCCTAGAAGTTCAGCAGGCAAATCAAAACTGAGTCATGCTGAATGAGGTTGAAAGCATTTCCATATCATATTGTGCTCTGTGTGCTCAGCTACAGTATCTAGGTCTGAGTGTCTTTGGCGTAGCTCAATCACTGCAGGCAGTCTGTAGGTACAAGAGGCAGCTCTTCATTCTATTATTATTAATTATTATTATTATTATACACAGCCCATTATTTCAGTTTACCAGAGAACGTATAGACCACCTGAAACATGTTTCAGTGCTTTGAGATTTCTCTAGTCGGTAACTTTTACAATTATTCACCCACCAACTTAAGGGAATGCTTTTGTTGAAAAATAGGAATGCATCCTATCTGTGCATCATGAATAATCGATGCTAATATGCAGGTTGGGGTTGACTTCATCGGCGTGTGGGTCCGTGTTGGGGTGCTGAATTCACCTTGACAGAAATACACAAGCTGTCACTTGTTTCTTTTCTCTCAGACCCTCATCGTGGCTTGGATCAGAGCAAACCTGAGTGTTTACATCTCTCGGGAGCTGTGGGATGAGCTGCTCAGCGTTCTGTCTGCCCTGACAGACTGGGAGGAGCTTATCAATGAGTGGGCCAATATCATGGACTCTCTCACAGCCGTGCTGGCAAGAACCGTGTATGGGGTGGAAATGACAAACCTCCCCTTGGACAAGCTCAGCGAACAAAAAGAAAAAAAGCAGAGAGGAAAAGGTTAGTCTCTGTGCTTCAGTGCTTTTTGTATCAAGTTAAATATTTAAGATGAAAATTTAAAATTAATTTAATCTAACATTAAATGTTGCCTCATCAAGTGTAAGAACCTGTTTAATCAAATGTTGAAGTGCTTTGAAGTGATGTATTCTCATCCTTCATCGTGGGAGGAAAGGCAATTGAGGTCAATAGAAGATATCTATTTAGCAGTTTTTAGTATGCACTTGAAATCGCTCTTTTCTGCAGAGCGGAAATGAAACGTGGTTTCCTGTGCTGTGCTCTGGCATAGTCATCAGTGTAAACATTGTTTTCCATGTATTCTGATTCAATTTTGTTGATTACAGTACTTTAGCTACTGTGACACCTTGCAATTGATACACAGTTGAAGTAGGGATTATTTTTTGATAATAGTAAGAATTCATCTATGTTGTTTAAAAGTTTAATTTAAGCCCATTCATACTTTAGGAAAAATACCTGCCAAAGCATACAATGCTAGAGAATTTCGTTTTCCTTATCTCTAAGGTGGCATTTTAGAGCCTCAAAAGCCGGCTGTGGTGGGAAGATCTTTTTCATTAAGCTGGAAAAGTCATCCTGAAATTGTGGAGCCGATGAGATTCAGAAGTGCTACGACCTCTGGAGCCCCGGGAGTTGAGAAAGCAAGAAATATTGTTCGTCAAAGAGCAACAGGTTAGACCTTAACTCCTTGTGATCCCAAACACTCAGTTACACTCAAGTTCTAAATCTGCCTTTGTGTTGTGGCTGCTTCCAAAAGTTGTGCAACTTAGTAATTAAATGCCTGAACAGAGATGTTGGGTACCTGTGCCTGGATGCCCTGATCACTACCTGTATGAATAGAGAATCAAAAGTATTTTGAAAAATTCTAAATATGTGCTTTTAAATACTTTACATTTAATAGCAAGTTAGCCATGTGAAAGTTTTTTGTAAAGAAGTGCATTCCTATCTTTATCGATTCATAAGAAAGTATTTATTAACATCAGTCATATAATATATATTGCTTCTGAATCAGTAATTAAATGCCTGAACAGAGATGTTGGGTACCTGTGCCTGGATGCCCTGATCACTACCTGTATGAATAGAGAATCAAAAGTATTTTGAAAAATTCTAAATATGTGCTTTTAAATACTTTACATTTAATAGCAAGTTATCCATGTGAAAGTTTTTTGTAAAGAAGTGCATTCCTATCTTTATCAATTCATAAGAAAGTATTTACATCAGTCAGATAATATATATTGCTTCTGAGCTGCCATACAGCTAGCTATTTACTGTGAGCAGAAGGTAAACCAGATATTTAATCAACAATTCCATCCTTTCTTATTCACTTTATTTGCTTTCTTTTTATTAGCGTGATGAGGTATGTGTAGCATCTCCTTTCCATGTTTTTGGTTTTTTTTCTCACGTTTACTTCTGGAAAGAGGAAAGCAGAAGGGAGAACAGGAGGTGAGGAACAATGGGGCAATGTCTGAGAGCCGAGGCATTGAGCAAATACCTGATTTTTCAAGAATTTTGTTTCTTTATGTCACGGTAGCATGTTCCTGCGTTCCGATTCAGTGGGCTGTGGATTCAAACTCTCCATGGAAAGCCTCCTGCTTTTGAAAAGGAGATACTTTGCTGCGTGGCTTCCTTCCTCATTCATAATAGATTAGTAGGTGTTTCTTACCAGGAGAATTTGAAGGTGATTTAATATGGTTTTGGGGCTGCAGGCTTCATAACTAAGCTGCAGGCTTCAGCTTGGATCACAAAACGTTTTGGCAGTGGAGTCGGTTCATTCTTTGTGCCTGTTTTATTTTTAAATTCAGTGAGTTCCTATTTGTGCTCCAGCAGAGAATTCTTTCTTTCCTCTGCTGCAGCACTTCTCCCTTAGACTTCTCACTGGACCAGCAGAGAGAACCTGGAAGTATTGATAAGCAAAGACTTTTATTGGTTGTGTGCTTTCAAATTAAATAAGTTCTACCTTTAGTAAGAAAAGCTTATTTGGTAGGGAGCCAGTAGCCTGTCAGGTGGGAAGATGTACTTCATGTGTAAAAAAAAGCTCTTAGTTTCATTTTGTGTCTCATGGTCATATAAAAAGAGAATTATTCTGGCTTTCGTGGAATTTGTGATGATCAATGGCTCCCAAATCAGCAGGTGCAAAGTTTTGTATTTGCACATGCGGTCATAACTAATAATAATTTCAGATATATAAAATGTATATCCCTTTTCTATCCCTTTCTATTAAGCCTTGGAATGAGCTGCCCAGGGAAGTGGCTGAAGCACCATCCCTGGAGGTATTGAAAAGACAGGTTGAAGTAGGGCTTAGAGACATGGTGTAGTGATGGTTATTATCAGGGTTAGGTTGATGGTTGGACTAGATGATCTTAAAGGTCCCTTCCAACCTGGACAATTCTATGATTCTATGAAAGACTATTTAGAACCACAAAACTCAGCTCCTAAGCCTCCAGAGAGGTCATCTTTCAGAATGAAATCTAGCAGTCCCTAAGGTGAATACTGGCAGTCCCTAAGCCAGGGCTGTTCAGAGGAGGACTCCCACTGGGGCCTCTTTTTTAAGTCCCTAATATTCTGCTGCTGTTCCCCCCCCCCCTTATTTAAAACCAGCAAAAAACCTCACCAAATCAACATACAAATACCAGAGTGTGTCCTGCCTCCGGGTAAGACTTTCTTTTGATCTGCTGCTTATATCTAGAGTTATAAGAGTAAGAACAGAGTATTTCTGCAGCAGCAGAAAATCTTTTGCCTGCTGTCCTGCTGGAGTGTTTTTGCTTCCTCCTTCCTCTCCTCTTAAGTGTCAACATTGACATTGCTGTGTACAGGAAGAGAAACTGTACAGTGAATAAGGTGGGGTTTCTTCCTTACAAATTTCTGTTAGAGACTTCTGTAATCCAGCATAACTTTATGTAATACAATTGATAATAAATTTCTGTTTTTCTGTAAAGGATACTTTAATCTTATGACAGTGGATTTTATGGATATTAATCCATAAAATACCAAGTTTTTAATAATATTAGGCAGCCTCTAGAGTGTTAGCTACCTTGGAAAGTGTTTTTCTGGTGGCCTTTTTTTTTCCTAAGAAACAGTGAACCCATTTAAGTGTTGCTATTTTGAAGAGAAATTCCATAAGATAGGCATTCCGACTGCCCTTATCTTCTGCCTTCCCTTGTGGTGACTTAATAATTCCAAATACTTTCATGTAACTTGTGTCCCTTTTGTCATCCTGTTCAGAAATGTGGAAAGCAGGGCTCACTACCCCAAAACCAGGGTCTGCAGGATAATTCGGGGCATAAGGAACTCATCAAGTCTCACCTCCTGCTCAAAGCAGGATCAGCTGCCCGTCAGACTGGGACACTCAGGACTTTATCCAGTCTGGAGCTAGGATGCCTAGTTTTAAAATCAAAAGCAGAGGCACCTCTGTATTTTTAGACTCATTTTTGAGAAGGAAACTACCCCACTTCTCAGATCAGAATGGATTATTTCCAGCAGAGATGAATGAATGTAAGAGAGCTGTTTTTGTGGGGGAGCATTGCTAGTAGAGAGGAATTTGAATAAGTTTTCCATTCATTATTTTTGAGCTGTATGTACTGCTGTGGATACTTTAATGAAGTTAAAAAAGGGTAAGTTGGAGATAGGAGTCATACACTGAGAAAATGAAATATTCCACGTTGTGGAAGTGTTGTGATTTAGAAATCACTGATTATTCCACTTTCAATGTGTGGGTTACAGTTGCACATTATTAACTTTGAGCTTATAGGAAATATTTCTGGGCTTAATGTTGTAAAACTGTTTTTGTTTTTTTTTTTTTTCCAAAAGCTTTGTGTTTCATGACATTCAAACCCCCAAATATTTCATTATTTTTTCTGACATATAATTATTGCTTTATTTTTTCCTGGAAGCTAAGCGAAGCCAGTCTATCAGCAACTGTGTTCATCTTTATGAGGCTTTACCAGCTACTAAAAGTGTACCTCTTCTGCTTCACACTGTGAGCTCTCTCTTACCTGGTATCTCTTACACTTCTTGCTCTCACAGACTGTCAGGTACTGTACCTTAAAGTCATCTTTTATATAAATGTTCTTTATATTTTTAAACTGCTGTCTGTCTACTCCCTTTCTGTCCAGTTGATTATTCTTTGGTGGTGTGGAATGAGATGTTTTGCACTGGTTCTGTTTCCTGTGCCTCGGATGTGTTCAAAATAATATAATAATATAATAAGAGAAGAGAAGGTTTAATGGGAGAGTATGTTGTCCCTTTTCAGTTACAAAGGGTGGCAAAAAGAGGCTACTTTTGATGCTTCTTCTGTTATTCTGTCACTGGGTTGGTTGTCAAAATAAGTAACCTTTTTCTGAAGTGGAGGGGAGCGATACCTTTTCAAGGAACTACCTGGAGAACCTTGTTGAATTCTTGAATGTATGAGCTGGTGCAAGCAAAACGTGCAGTCAGAGAAATGAAGCTGGTTGAGCTACGTGATTTAAAGGGGAAAATCTGACTGAACCTGTGTTACACGCAGTTACAAATGTGATATTCTCTTTTCTAAGGAATTCTGCCTGTAATTATTGATTCCAGAAGCAAATCTAAAAGATTTATTTGTGCCTCCTAGTTAGTTCTTGGATAATGTTTGGTTTGTCTCAAAATCTTTGTAGTGCTGCAAGCAGTGCAGTTTTTGTTCCTTTTAATACTCCAGATTTACCGCTAAGTAAAATTTATTTTAAATGCTTAATAAAGAATTGCTTTTATTCATGTTTACACTTTCAATTACTTGATTCATTAGAGGGTTCCAAGCAGTTGTTAAAGTTTTAGTATAGTGCAGACCAAATATGCTAAGGGTTAGGAATACAAAAACTAAAGGTAATGATCCAGATCTGGGCATTTTAGTGGTTATTTAGAGTGATGTGGGTGTATTTTTGCTCAAAAGGGTATTAAACTGTTTTCCTGCTTTCGATACAGTCTTATCCTGTGGAACTTTGTGATAAATAAAGCTCAAAGGAACACTAAGCACACAACTTCTGAACTGAACTCTGTACCCAGAGAGAGGTGTGAAAAACAGATGTAATGGCCTCAGAATACAAAGTGAATACAAAATGAATGCAGGGCATTCCTCCTACTACCTAGCCAAGATGTATTGGTGGAAGCAGTGAGATTTCTCTAACATGTTAGCAGACTTTCTTTCATTTCTGTTTCCAGCTAGTCTCTGAAAAGGTGACTTTCTGTCACCTCCCACATTTCACTTCCTGGGAGGGATTTCTGGCTGCTGAGCCCTAACCACAGCTGGTAGCTGCTCTAGCAAGAAAAGACAGGTTTTCCGTGGGGTTCCTATTCTGTGAAATATCGTTAGTGTTTTCTCATTTCAAGTTATCTTCAGTTGTAACACTGAAGTTGTTCTAGCTAGTGGATTTAATTTATTATTTTATTGCTTTCTGTAAGACATTTAAAGTCAACTTTAAGACTTATTGCTTTCTGTAAGACATTTAAAGTCAACAGTGATACTTTGAAGTCAGTAAGTACCAGAACAGTTGAGTTTTTTTACATTACTTTGAAGTCAGTAAGTACCAGAACAGTTAGGTTTTTTACGTACACAGAATCACACAGAATCTTTGTGGTTGGAAGAAACCTTTGGGATCGAGTCCAACCATATACACACACAAAAAACCCCACCCAACAATCTCGGGCACTAGAGCATGCCCTCAAGTGCCACCTCTATCTACAGGGTTCTTCGATACCTCCAGGGATGGTGACTCCACCACCTCCCTGGGCAGGCTCTTCCAGGGCCTGACCACCCTCTCAGCAAAGTCATTCTTCCCAATATCTCATCTAACCCTCCCCTGCCCCAACTTCAGACCATTTCCTCTGCTCCTGTCCTTATTCCCTTGGGAGAAGAGGCCAACCCCCACCTCTCTACACCCTCCTGTCAGGGAGGAGAATAGAAAGGTGGCAGAGAGGTCACTTTTATTTAATGTGCGTGTAATGTAACAATAAGCTGAAAGAAATCTAAACCACTTAATAATTCAGTCCATGTACTTTATTGAGGGGGAAAAAAAAAAAAAAAGAAATTCAGAGGTTCTCCGAAGAGTTGCTACAGCAGCATTTTTCATAATCTCTTAAAAAAGGGAAATGGCATTGGCTGTGCAGGTTGAACACCTTGAGCAATCTGCTGATGGTTTTGTTGGGTCAGCTTCGCTGGGGTGTGTGGGCCACCTCTTTGACTGCTTTCCAGGGAAAGGGTTAGCAATTAGCTTCAGTATGGTAGGTGGCATTAATGAGGGTCATGGTCATATCTCAGAGCACTGCTACTGAACATACTTGATCCCAAGTGTCTTCTCCTCCCTCCCCCTAATGCTTAGAGAAATGCATTTCTAGAGCATTGTGTTGCTAGCTAATCTCAAGAATTCCTGTTGCTCCTTCCCTGGTGTGTGAATTTACTTTCTAACTTGAATTTTCATGCCTTTCTCTCCTCATTTTTTATTTCTTATTTGCATTTACAGAAAAAAATAAAACAACTGCATGATTCAGTTTGTCCTCACAAACTAAGCCCAAATCATATGTAACTCAGATCTTTTTTTTTTTTTTTTTTTTTTTTTTACTCTGAATTGTAACCCTTTTTATTCTTTCCTTCCTCCTCTTTATGGAGGAAAAGTCAGTAAGCACATTCATCTTTTCTACACTCTGATTTTATAGTAGTTTTGCTGCCTCTCCTCTATTCTTTCCATTCCCAGAACGAGCAGGCTCTGGTTTGGGTCTCTAGCACCAAAAAACCAGTTTTGTTCACATCACATTCCCCCCCCCTTCCCTGTGCCCTCCAAACCCCCAGCGTTATTTCTGTCCTTTTTCTAAACTTCTTACCACTTACACTGCCCATCTCTCTCTCTCTAAACTTTACAGTTTGTCTAAGGATATTTTATAAAACTTAAATTATAACTTCTGCAACTAGGAGTTACATTCTGGCTTTGTAACTTGGGAATTGTAAATATTTTAATGAGTCACATTTTCATATAGCTTTCCTAGGTAAGGAGTTTACACATGTATATAATTCTGAGGTCGTGCAAATAATTTGTGTTTTAATTAAATCAACAGAAGTTGAAGAATCTCAGCAGCTGGAAAATTCAACAGGAACAGAAGCTACAGGCCTATTTGCAGACCAAGAGCAGCAGCTAACTCGAAGCAGCAGCACTTCAGATATTACAGATCAGTTTCCAGCTGATGTTTTTCAAGGTAATTTTGATAAAATATAAGTGGTACTGTTCTTCTGAGGAAAAAGCATTGAGACTTTTTCAGCCGCATAAATGCTACTTTGGTTTCCAGCTCTGTTCTAAAATGGTTTTCATCTCATTTTCTTAGTAAATATATTCTTGGTATCTTGTAGGAAGAAGTGTTTTTAAGAAGTTACACACCATGCATGCAGGTCATAACGTATTATAAAGAAGGGCAGTTAAAAATGAAACCTTTGAATATGTGCATTTTGTGTATAACTCTAAAACTTTTTTTTTTTAATCTGGCTTGCATTTAAATTTTGTGTATTAGAGCTAATGGTTCTGCTTCTGTTCTTATGGTGTAAGTACTTTATACTTATGGAAGATTTTTCAAAACATCGTATGTTCCATTTTAATACTTGGTATTACTTAGCTATAAATAGAAGAAGTGTACATGTAAACATAAGTGAAATTGTCATATAATTTGCTATGTACTTTGGTCCCACAAATGTCTATATTGTCTACATTTCTTGCTTACTTTCTAAAATTTCCAGGTAAAAAGGCTGGGAGTTCTCATAATTTAACTTCTTCAGACTCCAGATCAGTTCAGGAAAATAAGGGATGTACAAAGAAGGACCATGAAGCTGAGCAGGTAAGTGAAATAGAAAGTGATCATTGATAAGATTCTAACAATGGTATATTTATAGTCAGATGCCTTTTAGTATTTAGAAACTCTAGCAAGTGAAAGTGTGAAAATCATTAATCACATTGCCATTATAGGATCTGGAATTGAGCTGTAGCTGTTCATGATGTTACTTAGTGTGATTGTTCTGTGTCTTCTGTCTTGTCAGTTGTTTATGCAGTTCTGTGTAATTGGCTATATTCTAGTCTTGTACAAGACTTTTGTGCTTTTTTATATTAAATATAAACAAGAAGTTTATATCTCCTGAAGTATAAATAATTCATGACTATTATAGAGCCACAGTGCACTGGAATAAATATTTGATGGTTTAAAGTGCTGGGGAAAATGCTTTCCTTCAGCACAATCTGTACCACCAGCTATGGTTTGCAGATGTTAGTAGAAGTTAACGTTTGGACAGGCAAACGTTGTAAAATTTTAATGCAACTTCTGAATCAATGGTAGAAATAAAATTAGCTCATCTTTGGACCTTGGCTCTCCTACACACATCTAGACTTAGAGTCTGATTAACACTTAGCCCTGGAAAGGACAGACGAGACATTTTCTGCAGAGAGCTTTCATTAATCACTTTAGGAATAACAAAATGTCTTAAAAAGGAAGGAAAACCTAGTCTGCTTTGCGTGATTGAGAGAGGGGAGAGGGAGAGAAGTAAGCACAGTAGTTGGAGGAATTAAAAATTAACCTGGATCCCCATTCTATTTTAATGGCATGTGTTACAAGATTGACGAGCGTACGCTGCTGGGCTGGTACCAGTATTGCACTTCCGCCTTTTTTGCAAGTGGAGGGTGGGGTTTGACCATAATATTTGCTGCATAAACTGGTCCACACAGTACATTAGCAAGTTGAATTTCATATCACAACCTGCTGAAATAGTCCTTGCTGATCACTAGGAGCCAAATTTGTCAGGGAAAAAAGACCACTCCGCAGTCTATCAGCGCAAGCAAATGTGTATTTCCTGGGAATAATTGTCAATTCTTTCCAGTTTAAAAAAAAAAACCAAACAAAAAAAGCAAACAACAACAAAACGACAATGTTAGATAATATAATAATAATTTCTACAAGCCAGTTGTCTCTTGGGTGGCAATAATTTGCTTTCTCAGATTCATGCGGAAAGAACAAATGGATTAATGTCTGGATCAGAAATCACTTCAAGAAATTTATGTCAAAATAGTAATATTACTAATTTCAAATATCAAAATGGAATTTCAGAAATGTTACCTGAATTGAGGAATCCTGGAGTGGAGATTCCTTCAGCAGTTAGGTCTAGGATGCTCCCAGGGGGATGGTGTTGGCGCTTTGTGTTGCATGTTTGCAGGGGAAAACAGTTCTGTTTTCCTGGCAGTAACTAAGTATTGCTGTTAGAGATGACATGGAGTTGCAAGAAATGTGAATTTGAAGGTGATCTGAAAGGTATAAAGAAAAACAATTATGCCTAGGGACAGAACAGTATCATCTAGAAACAGAAAATTGTGTGAAGGTTTTTCAGCAGGTAGGCTATAAATCCATTTGGGGAAGAAGGTGGTAAACAAAAGATCAGGTGTCTTTGCGTGGGTTGTTTTGCAACAGAGTAAAGCCCCAACATAAGGGATGACTACCAGTTTCTTCCTGAAAGATTTTTTGATACTTCAGAAAGTTATGAATGATTTCAGAGTTGTGGAAAAACGTAAGTGAGAGGTCCTGCTTGTTGGTATGAGAACTGAGTTTAAGAAAGGGAGGATAATGACCAAAATTGAAAGCATGGTGGTTTCCTTAAGATGATGAAAGATACTTGGGTATTCTAAATATTCATGAAAATATATTGACTGAGTTCTAATTAATTTCTTATAACAGTGTGTGTATCTCGAATTTGCTAAATATGATATAGTACTCAAAAGTGTAAAAGCCTGACATGATTTTTTTCTCTCTGAAGGTACTAGTACGAAGAAGCAGTAGTACGGCTGAATTAGATTTGAAAGCAGATTTGCTGCAATCACATGGAAATCAGAGAGAGAGAGAAAAAAGTGAGTTCATGAAATGCAGTATTTTTCTTAAGTGTAACAATTGGAATCGGCGTCATAAATTTTGTCTTGTTACGGATATATTAGATGTTTTTCTGATCGTGTGCTTTGCTAAAGTAGTCTTTAAAAAGAGGCTCCGTGATCTTTATTAATGCCCTTCTTTCTTTAGGTGAAAGTGTTAGCAGTGACACGTCCATTGGCTATAATAATGAAGTAGAGATTGCTCTCATCCCCTGGCAAGCTTCCGAAGACGACCATGAAGTCAATGCATCAGCAGATGTTTGTGTGGATCCTGATGCACCTCGCTGGCTTCAGCTTAGTCCTTCAGACACTGCAAATTTAACAGGTACTGTAGTCCAGAAAAATTATTTACTGTTTTAGGTTTCTGTCTCAAAAAGGAGTTTATACGGTTTGGTTTGCTTATTAAATATGTTTCATTTGGTATATATCACCAAGTTTTGTTTGTTTTATTCGTTGTGTTCGCTCCAAAATGAGATATGAATACCCAGAGTTTAAGGAATTTGGATAATCAGACTGAAGCTGACAGACTTGCCAATAGATTGTGATCCAGAAAATTATGATATAGTTAAAAATAATTGGGTTGCTCACTGTTTCGAATTACTGCTAACCAGCTGACGTCTGATAGCTGATCACTTGTGCTCTTAGCCAGCCCCAGTGTTCCAAGTAAAAGACTTAATTTATATTTTAAGTTAATAGGTTTTATTTCGTGGCAAAATGGTCTAAAGAAATCCCTTGCTACATTCATACACGGTGACTTCTCTCATCTTAATCTTGTTATCCTCCTTATTTATACTTCAAAGTACACAAAGCCTTATACTCCAGTAGGATGTGGTAAGTGGCATTCTCAGAAGAGTTCATTTGGAAGTAAAAGCCCTTTACCTTTTCATTTTATTTACAGTATCTTTAAAATGTACAACATTCATGATTATTTATTGAGATATTTTGATTCTTTGCAGTCTGTAAGCATGCCCTCCGATCTCATAATGTGGGTTGGAGATGTTATTTCAATGACTTAATGCAGTAACGTATGAAACTATCTTAGAAGCTGGTTTTGCTAGCAGATCCATAGTTCCAAGGGCATTTTTTTCATATTCACTTTTTCTTTGAAATGTCTATAATTTAATGAACCAGCAGAGCTACTTCAATGGTTCAGACATGTTACAATGTTACAAAAGGGAGCATGTGACACAATGTATGATAAATTCTTTGTTTTCTTTATGTCTGTGATATAAGACATTGCTCCTTTGTGTGGACAGACAGAGTGAATTACCTAGCAGGTTATTTTATGCATCAGACTAAAAAGAAAAAAACGGGGTAACAAATATATAATTGCCCAACAGAGCCAGTGTGCTCTTACAGCATTTCTGATTCTCACCAAAGTCACAAAATGTTGTTTTGCTGTAGGAACCTCTATGGTGTAAGGCAAAACCATACTGTGATGCCACCACTGAACAGCATAGGTGTAATTCCTCTAATGACAGGTCCGTTGAAGAGCGTTCTGATGTGCATAATAAATAACATCTCTCTTAACACTTTGGGAATTCATAATGCTACAACAAACAAACCGAAATGGCTTCCAAGTGGAAGCCAGTGACGAGTGGTGTTCCTCAGGGGTCAGTACTGGAACTGGTGCTGTTCAGCATCTTTGCTGGGGACCTGGATAGTGGGATAGAGTGCACCCTCAGCAAGTTTGCCAATGACCATGTTGTGTGATGCAGTCGACACGGTGGAGGGACCTGGACAGGCTGGAGAGGTGGGCTCGTGTGAATCACATGAAGTGCAGCCAAGCCAAGTGCAAGGTCCTGCACCTGGGTCACAGCAATCCCAGGCACAAATACAGGTTGGGCAGAGAATGGCTGGAGAGCAGCCCTGAGGAGAAGGACTTGGAGGTGTTGGTGGGTGAGAAGCTCAACATGAGCCAGCAATGTACACTGGCAGCCCAGAAAGCCAACCCCATCCTGGGCTGCATCAAGAGAAGTGTGGCCAGCAGGGCCAGGGAGGGGATTCTACCCCTCTGCTCTGCGCTCCTGAGACCCCACCTGGAGCTCTGTGTCCAGCTCTGGAGTCCTCAGCACAGGAAGGACATGGACCTGTTGGAACGGGTCCAGCAAAGGGCCACAAAGATGATCAGAGGGATGGAGCCCTTCTCCTACGAAGACAGGCTGAGAGAGCTGGGGTTGTTCAGCCTGGAGAAGGGTCCAGGGAGAACTTAGAGCAGATTTCCATTACTAAAGGGGGCTACAGGAGAGCTGGGGAGGGACTCTTGATCAGGGAGTGGAGCGATAGGACGAGGGGTAATGGCTTCAAACTGGAAGAGGGGAGATTTAGATGAGATACCAGGAAGAAATTCTTTGCTGTGAGGGTGGTGAGGCACTGGAAGAGGTTGCCCAGAGAAGCTGTGGCTGCCCCATCCCTGGAGGGGTTCAAGGCCAGGCTGGATGGGGCTTGGAGCAACCTGGTCTGGTGGGAGGTGTCCCTGCCCAGGTTCCTTCTAACCCGAACCATTCTATGATCCTATGAAAAAAAGAAAAAAAAATCCCAAAAGCTTTTTAAAAATTAATTTCAAGCAAGCATAAAAACATCTAAAATGGCTTTTTATTTTCCTAACCTTTGGGTTCTTGGGGGGACACAAGTTACTTCCTTCTGCCTGTGTAGGGCAGAAGGAACTTCCCTTGGCTGCTGAGCACTGCAGGATGCCACGCCGGACCGTAGGTCTCATTCTGCCTGCTATGCACCTTTCCCTGGGCTGGTGGAAGATAATGTAACAGCTCTTGTCATTAAAGTTTGTCCTTCAATATGAATTTTTTCTTTTTAAGCATATTAATTCCATTATCCTGACAGTCTTCATCCAATCCTGCCTTCCTTCTCAGTTTGCATACTGCTGTCTCAGGAACTGCTTCTGTGTAAGATGATAATCCCCAAGCATATTCTCTATCACTAGTAGTGCATACTCTTTAGTTCCTTTGTTCAGTTCCATTTCCAGGTCATTTTACACTATGTGATCTTAAAAAAAGAAAGGACTCTTAGCAATAGAAATACTACCTGTAAAAGCCAGTTATTGATCAAATAAATCTCTGAGTACATGAATGTTCCATTTAACTGCGTTTGCCTCCCTGCTAGAAAAAAAAAAAACAACCCTTGAGTGAGGGCAGTCTGTCTGATATAAAACTGATCTATAGCTGTGTCATCTCTATGTGGATGCCCTTTACCCTACATTTTCTGCCATTTTTTCTTTGCATCCCGTGCTAGCTTGAGCAATGGAAAAGAGAGAGATGATTCGGTGGGAGAGAATGCTTTTGAGATGGAAGGTTAGGAGTGATATTACTATTTTACTGACCGAATTTGTACCCTACACTGCATTTCTAATTCATGGCAATTGAACTTTTTTTTTAATTTTACAGACAGTAGTGAATTCCTTGCTGATGACTGCAGTATCATTGCTGGTGGAAGCCTTATTGGTTGGCATCCTGATTCTGCTGCGGTTTTGTGGAGGAGGATCTTGGGAATTCTTGGAGATGTGAACAATATAAAGTCACCTAAAATCCATGCAAAAGTTTTTGGGTATCTGTATGAGTTGTGGTATAAGCTCGCAAAGGTAATGCATGTAATGCTTACATCTAATGATAATGATTTTTCTTTTGTTCTAAAAATTACTATTAAATTTGATTTAGTATTAGCATCTAGGAAATAATCTAGAACTTACTTGGAGTATTCTGTCTTAAAGCTGACCTTGTTTGATTTCTAGTAGAGAATAAGAATTCAACGACAAGAGAATTTAGATTAGTTAATTGAAATGGAGTGAAGAAACAGTAGCAAAGAATATAGATGTATAGAATAGAATACTGCAAACGTTGGTATTTGATGTAAAAGCCCGTGGTATGATCTAAAATGGTAATATTTGTTTAGGCTGTGGGGAAGCACTGTAGAAAAAGCATTCGTGGTAGTTTTGGCTTAAGTAGGAACTCCATTTAGTGCAGAATGTAGTTCATTTAAAGTAAAATAAAATGAGAAAGAAGTAATGTGAAATAAAGAGCATTAATAAAGTAAGCTATCAGTTTTATTAACTTGCTTCTTTTAAAAACATTAGATACGGGACAACCTTGCTATAAGTGTGGACAATCAGTCTACTCCCTCGCCTCCTGTCTTAATTCCTCCTCTCAGAATATTTGCATCATGGTTGTTCAAGGTAAATTATTTCTAAAAATTTTCACACACTAGTATTTTCTTGCATGTCTTTAAAATTTGTGTACGTTTAGTTGTGTAAGTTTTTCGGTCCCTGCTGGCTAAGAAGATAAATACCCTTCAAAGACCATTTGGACTCAAATCTCTTTAACATCTTTAACTCTTTAACTCCAATTCTCTTTAACATCTTTATCAATGATCTGGAGGAGGGGATCGAGTGCACCCTCAGTCAGTTCGCAGACGACACCAAGCTGGGTGGCAGTGTCGACCTGCTGGAGGGTAGAGAGGGTCTGCAGAGAGATCTCGACAGGCTGGATGGATGGGCCAAGACCAACGGGATGAGGTTCAACAAGGCCAAGTGCAGGGTCTTGCACTTCGGTCACACCAACCCCCTGCAGCGCTCCAGGCTGGGGGCAGAGTGGCTGGAGCTGCCTGGCAGAAAAGGACCTGGGGGTGTTGGTGGCCTGTGGGCTGAACATGAGCCAGCAGTGTGCCCAGGTGGCCAAGAAGGCCACCAGCATCCTGGCCTGGGTCAGGAACAGCGTGGGGAGTAGGGCCCGAGAGGTGATTGTCCCCCTGTACTCGGCACTGGTGAGGCCTCACCTTGAGTGCTGTGTCCAGTTTTGGGCCCCCTACCATAAAAAAGACATTGAGGTGCTGGAGTGGGTCCAGAGAAGGGTAACAAAGATGGTGAGGGGTCTGGAGAATAAGTCTTATGAGGAGAGGCTGAGGGAGCTGGGGTTATTCAGCCTGGAGAAGAGGAGGCTGAGGGGAGACCTTATTGCTCTCTACAACTCCCTGAAAGGAGGGTGTAGAGAGGTGGGGGTTGGTCTCTTCTCCCAAGTCACAGGCGACAGGACGAGAGGAAATGGCCTCAAGTTGCGCCAGGGGAGGTTCAGGCTGGATATTAGGAAAAATTTTTTCACCGAAAGGGTTCTCAGCCATTGGAATGGGCTGCCCAGGGAGGTGGTTGAGGCCCCATCCCTGGAGGTGTTCAAAAGACGGGTTGATGTAGTGCTGGGAGGTCTGGTTTAGTGATGATGCTCCTTGTTTGTTGTGTGGGTGTCTATTTTTGTCAGTTAGGTTGACGGTTGGACAAGATGATCTTTGAGGTCCCTTCCAACCTAGAAGATTCTGTGATTCTGTGATCTGTTTTAATGAATACATGGAACAGATTTGCTTTGTGTAAAATCTGCTGAAGATGCAGTTCTGCATTAGATGGCTACTAGAAAAAAGAAGTAATAATACAAGATTTTTGTTCTTTCCAGGCAACCACCCTGCCAAATGAATATAAGGAAGGCAAACTTCAGGCGTACAGACTGATCTGCGCTATGATGACCAGGCGTCAAGATGTTCTGCCAAATTCTGATTTCCTGGTTCATTTTTATTTTGTGATGCACCTTGGCTTAACAAGTGAAGACCAGGTACAAGCTTTACTTGATAAATAAATTGATTACTGTGTGCTGGTGGAAATATCTGTATTTTTGTATTTGAAGACCTGAAGCATAAAGGAAGCAGCACTTTGCAACGATTGTGGCATGTAATTATCCTGTGTAGCTTAGTCTGGACCTCTCTTTAGATTACTCAGTCCTAACTTTCTCATTGCTCTCCCAGCTGCTTAAATTTTTAAACAACTACTACTTATTTGTGACTTATTGTCACAACTGCATCACAGACGCTTGTTGAGATTTCTTTCTGGGTTTCCTGATGTTTCTGAGGGACAATCTGTGACGAGTTCCTGTCCGTGTGCGTCGCACAGGGAGTAGCTGAGTCAAACTGGTCACGTGAAGAACGTTCAAATGCTCAGTTGATATTAAGTCTTGAGCTACACTGCGTTTGACAAGTGTGTTTAAACTTTGCCAAAGTGGGACCCTCATGTGTCTAGTCCCACTACCATGTTCTGTAGGAAGTGTGATGCTGTGAAGTTGGTGCTTCCAGAGCAGCTGCTGGAGTTGTCTGTTGTTCCTGTTACTCCCAGCTCACGTTACAGATGTTTTTACCTTCTGCCATAAGGTAAAATGCCAGATGCCATCTTGGGCAAAGGAGGGGCTGAGAATCTCTTTATGTTAATTTAAAAGCAGCATCTGCTCTCAGCATGCCCTTTGGAATGCCACGTGCCATCGCTTGCAAGGACATACTCTAAAATTAGAATTAATGATGTTCTCTCCAGACTTTTCCCTGTCAAGATTAGTCCTTCAGGAGGTGTTTAAAACTGTCATACCAGCTCTTACTAACTGGAGGAAAGGGACTGAAGGGAGAACTGAGACAGAACGTTATTGGATCACTGTAACCAAGAAGTGCTACCAAAACCTTCTATTTCTGTGAATAAATATTGTTTTTATGTCCCTGTGTCCTTGGTTGGCCTAACTCATGAAGACTTCTATTTCTGTGAATAAATATTGTTTTTACGTCCCTGTACCCTTGGATGAGGAAGACTTAATCTGTCCAGATGTGAGAAGGTTATTGGGCAACGGAAACAGCCAAATACTCTCAAAAACTGTAAGAAATACTCTTTGGCCAAAATAAAGAATATCTAAAAACATTTTTGATGTTTTTAGAGCTGTACAGTGAGTTTTCCTCCCTAAAAGAAGTACTCCAAGGAAGTCAACAGCTAGAGCTGTGCTGTGGATGCCAGCAGAGGGCACACAGACCCCTCCGTAAATCCTGTAGCGGTCACTGGCACTTCTGCTGCTTCTGAGAGTTATTTCTGGTGCCCTTAGTAATTAAGGAGGAAGAGTCTTGCACAGGTTTGGGTATTTCTGAGGGGAAAAGAGAAATAATGCATTGTTACCAGGTTCTTGCCTTCTGAATCTCAGTTCCTCGTTCTGAAAAGTTAGAGCATTTGGAGAATCTTCTTTTTAAATAGATAATGGGGAAAAAAAAAAAAAGGAAAAGAAAGGGTTTTCTTTTGGCAAAACCTAAGAGTTCTGGCTGCTGCTGAAACTGAGAAAAAACCAAACCATAAGCATCTGCCATTTATAAAGCACAAATGGGGGAAAAGAAAAGTGTTGTGGGAACTCCTCTTTTTGCCACTCTCAATATGTTACCTGAGAGTAATGAGTATCTCGTTATTCATTTCATTAATGCCATTTAGATTTCAGGTGGTTTAACTCTAGTTGTACAGAGTAAATTCATTCCCCAAGGAAAAAAAATATGACTGTGTGATAACACCCGCTATGATGGGACCATTGTAAAACCACACAGCATTAAATCCTCTCACATAAACCACACAATTCGAGAGACATTAAAGCCTGATGTAGACCAGATTTGGAAAAACATAATCAACTTTTATATTTGGAAAAACAAGGACCCTTATATCAGTATAGCAACCACTGCCAACACAGGGCCTTAGGGGCAGAAAATACCAGTAATTTTAAGACTTAAGTTGTTTTCATTTACACATGTCCATGAAAAGGCCAGATTTTCAGAGGTGTTGAGAGGTGTCCATGAAAAGGCCAGATTTTCAGAGGTGTTCAACTGTTGGCAGTTCCTTTTTTTGAAGCTAAGGGGTGCTCTATTTTTTGAAATCTGACAGCTTCCTGGAGAACTGTTTCCTATGTAGAAACTGGGAGATTTTAAAAATGTGGAGTTGGTTGTTGTTGGGCTGGTTTTTACCCCAATTGCATTTTGGTGTTAAGAACAGTTCCACAGGTTTTTATGCTTCTTGCTGCTGTGCATGTTGGCTTTTAGCGCTTGTGCAGCGTTACAATCCAGAAGTTAAAGATGATGAAGACATGCTGACTGCGTGGTGAAGGCAGACCCCACGTGGCATGTCGTTCCAGGATTTCCCAGATACTTTGCACACTGATGCTTCTCTTTTGTTCTTCCTTGCCTCGCTCAGTTTTGCTTTTTTTGCCTCTTGGTGGCACACTTGACCACGAGGTTTGTTTTTTTTTCTGATGTTACTGTCCTTCCCACTTTGCTTTCCTTCCCGGGGAAGCTGGTGGAGGTGGTAACTCATGGTGCTTTGGAGCTGGGATTCTCACACAAGGTGTTGGTTGATGCGAGGCATGATCCTTGCACTTATTTCTGTATTTCCAGTATTTATTTCTGTATTTCCAGTATGATTAGCCTCAAGGTGCTTGGTGGGTGTTGAGACGAGTCGGACAGTTTGTGTGCTGAGGGTAACTACAAAGGCAGGTACATGTTCCACAAGGAAGAAGTACCTCCTGATGTGTGCAAAGAATAGCCAAGTGTAAAGTGTGCCTTGCAACTCACTTTGCTTCCCCAGGGTCTCACAGCTTCCTTTAAGAAACAGGATGATGTATAATGAGCAGGACACAGTACCACTACAGATGTTGTGATATTTTTTTTAATTTTTTTTTACTTCTCAGTGATTTTTGGTATATGCTGTCACCTGATAAACTTCTTAGAAAAGAGGGTGTGATATCATGGGGCACAAGGATCACTGGAATGTGGGTCTTTGTTCTTCGTAACTCTGCAGCATCCCTGTTACCAACGTGTGCTTTCCAAGATGCGAGTTGTTGCGTGCCATAATAAGCCTTGGGGCAGATTTTTTTAGCACTGATTGTTTTTATTTGCTAAGCGCAAGCAAAAAGTTCTCACTCTTAAGGAATACAAACATGGGAAAGGAGAAGGGGGGGAATTCTCCTTCTGTATGTATGACCAGTTCAACTTGAAAATTTATGGGAGAAAGCAACAGAAAGGTCAACCGACTTCAGGAAATCGCATTGGCTACTTTAGAAGAGCTTTTTAAGTGGGTACATAATTTAAAAAAAATAAAATAAAATTACAGTCAGAAACCTACTTGACCTGACTGTGATTTTCAATCTTTTAGTGAGCGTCAGAAATGTTTCTTTATGAAATACATTTCTTTTTCCGGTCCTCCCTTATGGATACGAGTATACAAAATTTCTGCTGTGTAGAATTGTGTAGAAAATTGTGTAGATTTTGGTGTTGATAGAAAAACAAAATAATATGTTTTTAAACACGGTTAGAAATTAATACAATATTATTGCTGGCAAGTGCAGGCTAACTTTGCAGACTTGTCTCATGGGGTATATAAAAGAGCAATGTAGGGTTATATTTTATAGAAAGCTCCCATGGCATTCTGAGTTCAAGATGTAGCAATTAGCAGTCGAGAAAAGAGATAGTGAGGTAATGAGCTGCATCTAATTTGTCCGTGTGGAAGTGTCTAAGGACAAACATCTCTGTAGGAAGAAGTGACCAATTCTCTGCAAGGATTGCATCACCTTCTCAGGTGGGAGAAGTCATTGTACAGAGGGCGGTCACCGAGTCGGTCACAGCCTGGCACAGGAATTATTTCCAGCTTGCAAAGGGTCCTGAGGTCAAGGGGCAAGTGACCGTCTGTGGGATGATGATTCTCCTCCTCTACTGCTCAAGTTAGTGGACGTTTCTCTGATGCTGCAGTGAGCCCCTGCAGTTTGTAATGAGTGGAGTTGAGTGCGGCTCACCACCTCCCCTCCCTCACCTCCAGGCTAAAGGAAAAGGGATTTGGACATTGGCTAAACACGCCGTGGGTTAGTGGAGGTAGTTCACCCATGGTTGCTCCAATTCCTCCTCTAGACCATGGAAAATCATGAAATGTTCTTGGAGGTGTGATTTTATTTTGGTTTGGTGGGTTTTTTTAGGCCTGTTGCAGTCTGGATAGGTGTAGCTGCGCAATGAGACTGGTTGTTGAAAGCCCCCTATTCCAGTGACTGCAACTCTCTGTCTTTTGATTTGGACAATAAATATACCTTTTTTAATTAAACCAAAGTCTAATACTGCAATGCACAAATTTTACAAGTACCTGAACTGGGAAAGGAAATGTATTTTAACATTGCTGCTAGTTGATTACTGTAGCAGTAATTTTTGCTTCATGAACTTGAAAATATACGTAAGCATCTCCTTGCTTCATAGCTTCCTTGTTTTTGCTGAAGAACAAAAGTACCAAAACACAATTTCAGAATACTACTGACACCGTTCAGCCCCCTTCTCAGAAGAGGAACTCTTGAGATAATTCTGATTCTTCAGTTCTGGTACTTTTGATACTTAAATACTCCTTCTAAATTACTGGTGGTTTTTTCCTAAAACTTCTGTGGATTTTTGTGACGCTGTCTTATTTCTGTCTAAATTTGCACTTGAGAATGCAGTGCCAGTTAGATGCTTACCCTGTAGTTACGCTGGAAAAGAAGCAGCAAGTTGTCAGTATTTTTCAAGTTTCAAGCCCCAAGCTGTTTAGTGTTATTTTTTTAATAGAAAGTCTCACCCCGCTACCGGAGCTTTAGCATCAGTTTATGTGCTTGGTGTAACCTTCACAACACTTGCCACCCTGGTTTTGCCCAGTAGGCAGAAGTTATCTGAAAAGTGAGCTAACAGATTAGTTATATTCTTGTCTTTTAAAGTGGTTTTTCTTTTTTTAAACAAGTACATTTAATTAATGCACAATTACACCAGCATG